GGCAATCCAAGCCAGGACTGCTTTGCAAGCGGGGGAACCCTGAGAACTGTCTGTCTGGGGTGGGGGTTGGGTCCCTTTAAGCACAGCCCTCGGCTAGCCTGAGACAGCAGCTCCACGCTCTAAGTCCTCATCTGATGCCTGCCGGCACTGCTTCCGGCCATCCTTAACCTCAGTTCAGGGTCCACTCTGTGTGGACATGCTAGTTCGAATTAGCAAAACGCTAATTCGAACTAGTTTTTAAGTCTAGCTGCGCTAATTCAAATTAGCTTAGTTCGAATTAACTAATTCGAACTAAGTTCGAATTAGCGCTGTAGTGTAGACATACCCTTATAGCTTGTATTATGGTATAATACATGACCTTGCACCCCCCAAAATTTAACATCATCTTCCTCTACTCACATCCTAGAAATGAAATGGTTAAGAGCATATACAAGTTCTGGGCCTTTGCTGGCTCTTTGGAGCCCCTTATGGTTCATGCAAGGCTTTATATTTTGAATACAGGAATAGGAGTTAGGCCTAGGACCGTACTCACTTCTACCTGACTATAGATGAAGTATGTGCCGTCCACCAGTACCTCCAGCTCCCCACTGCGTGCATGCAGCTTAAACACCTTGGGGTTCATAATGATGCGAGACCAGTCATTGAGCACTCCACCTGAAAGATCTCAGTATGAGAAAATGGCAGTCATTCAGTACCCGTCAAAATGAAAAGCGCAATAGCAACACAAACACAGTTATACAGATTACAGATAGCTTACATACACAATACATCTATTAAAGAAGACTAAAGTTGTGAAGTCAAGCACTCAGAGTTAGGAAATGCCAGAATTACGGATGCCAGTAGATCAGCTGCTTTCTGTGTAAGCATTTTGATAGTCATTAATTTCAAGGTACACTGTTTGTTGCACAAGAAGTTGACCCCTACCTCATGCAGTACTCACTGAATGACAGACATTCAATACAGGTTGAACCTCTCTTAACTGGGAATCTCTGGTCTGGCAACATCCTTGGTCCAGTAGCACCACAGATGTCCCAGGACCAGAGAGTCTTGGTGGAAGCCTGGTCGCTGGGAGCCCTGCAGCAGGGGCTATCTGGCAGCACAACCAGGAGCCTAGCAGCCTCACTATCGCTAAGTGGCTCAGCAAGGAGCCCAGAAGTGCAGCAAAGAGCCCGGCAGCCCTGCTACCACCCGGTGGACTTGATCGGTCAGGTTGGGAAGCAGTTGTTTAACAGGAAGAACAACTGGGAGAATTCATGAACTAACTGAAGAAAATAAGAGAAAGAACTACTTATCCAACAAAGATAGATTGCTAAAGAATACCGAAGAACACTGTCTCTGGCCAGCTATGGCAAGAAAGAACTGAAGAGGATGGGCTGCTCATGTGTGGTATCGGGTCACTGAATGCACGCGACCTGGGCATCATGCATTCATGGCCCCAGGACACTGCTGTAAAAGACTCTGGTTGCCTTTGCAGGGGCACACCAACACCTCCTGTGGAGCACTCACAGGGACATCTCTCAAAGAAGTATAAAAGAACACACAACTCATGGCCTCCTTGATATAAGAGGTATAAGTTTGGTATAAGTGACTAATCCACTTACCATATTTCAAGTCCCCTGAAAGCAGGAATCTCTCCATGAAAGCTTGGTATAAGTGACTTAAGACCACATAGGAACTCTGTAGCAGAGATAAGTAAAATCCTATTCTCTGGGGCAGCATTGAACTGCCTTTACCATGAGACCATCTTCTCTATTCCTGCAGTCCCCTGGCCTCATTTCCTGCAGAATTTCCAACTTCTTTAACAAATGAGGGAAAGTCCTACATATAGCAGCCTAATTTGCTACCCAACCCTGATTCATCCCCCAGAGCAGGTACATCCTTTGCATTGAATGAAGTGAGGTCATGTGAATAGTATTTGATCATGTCTGTCTCATAAATGCATATGCACAACAGGGTCATATTAAGTTTGCATGGGCAACCTTAATTCTGGCATTTCGTAACTTTTGAATGCTTGACTTTGCAACCTTAGCATTTTTTTTTCATGGTTTCTTTGTATGTAACTTTCTAGATTTTTTTAAATAATAGATTCGCAGCACAGGTCTCTATCACAAGACCTACTGGAGTAATTGGTGGTAATAGTAGACTGTTATCCTTCATATGAGCCAGCCACTAGAGGCGATGAGACACACACATTGCTGATTGTTTTCACAGCTATTTGCTGACAGCAGAGGACTGTTGGGATCCACAAATAATGTTTCAATTTAGAGTTTCTGTGGCGGAATGTGCTCTACTGGTTATAGACTGTTCTACCCAAAGTTTTCCCATGCCTAAATTTTTTGTCCCAGTCCATCTTTGTTCCTATCCCCTCCCCACCCAACCTTCCTTTCCCCTCTTCAACTGTCTATATTCAGGTGAGTGTTTCTTTCCTCTCCTCAAGGTTGCTTGGGTGACAGCAAGGGAACCTTGGAGAGTGCAGAAGTGCTTTCATTTCTGGTACCATGTACATTAGCTCTCAAAAGCTGGCAGGATAATTCCTGTTCATAAGCTTTGTGGGAATGGAGCATGTGCACTGTGGGTACCAGGGAGTTCTGTGCTGGTGGAGTAATCTTAGTACAGATGGAATGCTCAGAGAATGTTACTGCCAAATGAACATACTTCTATTGAGAACGTGCAAAGTATACTTTTCAAAGGCTTAGAAGCTCGTGAAACTGGGGTGCACCAAATCTCTTCTGACCTTTGAGTGACCCACTTGCTATATTTCAAGTGCTTGCTTGAAAGCAGGAACTTCTCAATGAAAGTTGTAAACATTAAAAAAATAATACAAAAATATGCTCTCTCCTAATATAGTTCTCCAAAATAGCTGAAAAATATCTCTGAAACTTCAGGGAAAAAATCAGCCCATGGTAGACACTTAGCATGAAAGATTCTAGCACCAATGGTTAAAGTTTGGCAACATTAAAGAACAGAATTATCAGGCTCATGGATAAACACTATTTGTTAGGGGAGACTCAACAACATGGCCCTTGGGAAATTATGCCTTTTCAATTAGTTACAATTCTTCAGTGGTATCAACAAACACATGGACAAGAGAGATCCAGTGTATATGGTGTACCTTTTAGAAAGCCTTTGACAAGGTCCCTAATTCTTCAGTGGTATCAACAAAGGTGTACCTTTTAGAAAGCCTTTGACAAGGTCCCACACCAAGGGCTCTTACACAAATTAAGGTGTCATAGGAAAAGAGAGAAGGCCCTCTCATTGTTAACAGGTAGGAAACAGAGCACAGGTTTAAATGTTCAATTTTCACAGTGGAGAGAGGTAAATAGCAGGGGTCTTCCAAAGACCTGTACTGAGACCAGTGCTGTTCTACACATTCATAGATGGTAAGAAGTGAGGTGGCAAAAGTCTGCAGATGATACAACATTCCTTAAGATAGTTAAGTTTAAAGCAGACCAGAGGTACAAATGGATCTCACAAAACTGACTAACTAGGCTAGAAAACAGCAGATAAAATTCAAGTAACACACACTAGAAAACACAAACCCAACTGTACATACAAAATTATGTGATCTAAATTAGCTGCAGAAGGAGACCCTGATGTCACTGTGGGTAGCTCTGTAAACATCTGCTCGATGTGAAGCAGCAGTCAAAAACAGAATTTCAGGAACCATTAGGAAAGGAAAAGACAAAATATCATAATGCCACTCTAAATCCATGGTATGTTCATGCCTTGAGTACTGCATGTAGTTCTAGTTGCACCATCTCAAAAGACATATTAGAAATGGAAAAAGTACAGAAAATGGTAACTTCTTCAGACAGTGCACAGACTATCTGTGGAATTTACTGCCAGGGGATGTTGTGAAGGCCAAAAGTATATCTGAGTTCAAATAAGTTCATGAAAGATAGACACTGATGAACCTATTAGCCAAGATGGTCAGAGATGCAAACCTATGGCCTGGGTATCCCTAAACCTCTGATTGTTAGAAGCGGGGATTGGATGATTGGAGATGGATCTGTAGGGAGTCAGCATGGCCTCCCACTGACTCAGAGGAGGAAACTCCTCCCAAAACCCATTGGCGGGCGGTGCCAGAACCATCCAGGCCCGCCCACAGGAAACAGGAAGGCAGGGCTGGAGGTATAAAGAGAGGAGCTCCAAGCTCAGTTAGGGTACGTCTACACTACCCTCCTAATTCGAACTAGCGGGGTAATGTAGGCATACCGCACTTGCAAATGAAGCCCGGGATTTTAATTTCCCGGGCTTCATTTGCATAAGACGGGCGCCGCCATTTTTAAATCCCGGCTAGTTCGAACCCCGTGCCGCGCGGCTACACGCGGCACGGAGTAGCTAGTTTGGATTAGGCTTCCTAAACTGAACTAGCTGTACTCCTCGTGGAACAAGGTGTACAGATAGTGCGGAATGGCTTGCTAGTTCGAACTATCTAGCCCGTGCCGCGTGTAGCCGCGCGGCACGGGGTTCAAACAAGC